TCTTGGATGAGATGTCAAATTGTAAATTGCGTACACAGATGCAGGGAGAGTGAGGAGAACAGAGAGGGTTTGATTAAAAAATCAAATACCTAATGATTTCTTTGGAAAGATTGTCTTTCTCTTTCTTTTGAATCGATTGATGGTTCTCTCAGGTGTGTTCCCTACAAGTGCGAAGAATGGGATGGAATAAAGCAGGACAGCACAGGAAAGATGTGAGAAGGGAAGGAGATTGGATCCACAAATGGCTGGAGCCTTTGTCGAACTACGAGTATGGAATTGACAGTTGCCAAACAACTAAACATTCACAAATAAACTTTTGAAAGAGAGGGTTATCTCTGATTTATTTGAAACTCGTAGTGAGATACCAATGTCTCCTATTGAGGCTCAGGTGTGTCACTTCCAAGCAAAAAGGAAGAGGTAATGAAGATGAAAGAAAGTAATAATGATAGTGGACAAAATAAGAAAGGGAAATTAAATAAAGGGGTAAATGAATAAGTAAAATAGAATGGTTAAGTTTATAACCACAACTGAAATAAATGAGAAAAGGAGGATACAACGCAATAACAATAAGAAGCAAGTATGAGTCTAACAATATTTTGTAATAGGGAAAATGTTGGTGGAATAAGTTCTTAACTTTCAAAGTTTAAGACTTATTCGCCTGTGATTAGATCTAAAAGAGAAATTTAGAAATTATGAAATTAGATTTATTAAAAATAAATCGAGAAATCATTAGAAATTACCTGTTAAGAAAAATAGAATTTAAATTTAATAATTCCCTAAAAAAAAATCAAATTCGAATTTGACAATTAATAATCATAAACCAGTATTTTCTTTTGCAAGTAAAATGCAGGTAAAAGGAATTAATAATTGCAAACGACTTCCTTTTCAAGGAAAATATGGGTTAAGTGAGATATGGGAATGGTAAATAAGAAAGAAGAAAAGACCAACAGGTGGAAAGTCAATGTGTTTAAATGGTTAAATCACTTTAACGTTGTTCAAACAGACACTGTTTAACCATTGAGGTTAATACTACTGATAACCGTAAATAATGCTAAAGGCGTTAGCATATAGGCCTCACTGTAAACAACTGCTTTGGTTAGCTTGGCAAACAAGGGGGTAATCCATCGACCGGAAGTTGAAGCCGGCCGGGTGCCGCCATGTTGTAGCAGAACTTCACTTGCGTTAGCATTTCCATTGACTCCCATTCATTTTTGCGTCACTTTGACAGCGAATAACTTTACATCTGAGGAGTTTAAAGACTCCATTTGTCCATTATTTATTTCTAAAGAAACACGAGAATGTATAAAGGGCTCCATTACCTTCTATGTTACACTATGGCCCCGTAGAAACAGATTTAGTAAAAATAGGCTAACGATTGCGTCATAACCACTCGACTCTCTGTCGCGCTGTACAGAAATTACCGTACAGACAGGAGGAGAAGCTCGCAGGCAATCGGGGGGACGTCCCGTCAAGGGAGAAGCCCATAGATAATGAGTCCATAAAAGCAACGGAATTCTTACTCCTGCTCACTCACGCCAAAGAACTCTTTGCTCAAGTTCCCCGTCTCTGCAAGATTAACGTTGGCAGTTTCCACGCACAGCTACTAGAAGATTAACGTCTGTCAGACAGGTTGCTCACGTCATCAAGCTTAGTTTGAGTCGGTCTGAGTCTGCGCGTCAGGAACGGAAGTTCTCAAAAATCGCTAAAAGTGGGCTTCAACTGTCTCAACTGAGTTCCAATGAGATCGCTCTGTCCATTTCTTTTACTGTCTATGTTGGCAAAGGACTAGCTAGCTTAGCCACCAAAAGGGTTTGTTTACACTGTGGCTCTGATCATGCGAGAGGTCAGAGTTCCCCCGGAAGCGTTGGTTAAGACTTCCGTGTCACGATCGTAACTATGGCAACGAAACGAACGCTAGTGGGTAAACATGTGAATTGCAACAGTTAGGAAACAGTTACGCATGTTACATGAAATGTCGGCGCATTTCAACAATGTTCATAGAATATGCATGTACAGTAACAGTCGATCATATTACGGGAAATGTCGGCGCATTTCAAACTGTACAAAAATACACCACTCGTAGCTTTAGCTGGTTTTACGACGTGGGGTTCCACTCAATTTATTAGGAGTGATATTAACTTTAAGCAAGCGACAGCTTTGCGTTATAATAGATGGAACGATGACGACCTCGGCAGATCGTCTCTGTGCAAGTTTATCTGAGCACACGAACAACAGGGTTCTTCGGTTAGTTTCAACGTCAAGCTTTACTTGAATACAATAAAAATAACTCTTATTCAACTACACTCGGACACACGCAGTGTTTACACGAGAATTCATTGAACAGACACCAACATACAAGCAAACATAGACAAACAGCTGTTTATTACTGGGATTGCAATGGGACACGCATTGACAATCAGACAAATATAACTGCTTATATGTTTATCACGGGTCGCAGTGGAACACGCACTGTGAATCGGATAAAAATATATAACGTTAGATGAGGAACACGCTCATCGCTCTGTGAGGAGAATAATCGTTCTTATATAGTTATTTTAATTACTGCAGTATAATTTTGTTAAGCTCTCTGGCTGATACACACACATGTATAGCTTTGACAGACGCTGGAACACGCAGACGTCGGTAAGCTATAATCAAGGTATTTCAGAAATTGAGGAACACGCTCAATTCTCACCTTATTGTTGTGTGATATTTTATATCTTGGGTTATTTTACTGCAGTTGAAAAAAAAATAACATATATGGAGGCAGACAGACTAGATTAACAGCTCTTTCTGGGGTGCGTCTCTCAAGGAGCAGATTCATTCAAACAGGGCGCGCGCTGCGCGCTCTCCATCCGTCACACACAGACTTTCGCAGGTTCGGATCTCTCATCCGCACAATATGAAAAGATAAATTACTTCGTATATGCTTACAATTTAGGTTAAACTTCCCGCATTTTTCTCCACCATAATAATGTAGCGATTGTACGCACGTATAAATATAATTAATTATTATTCATAACGGATTATGATCAATAATTAATAATTGAATTATTTTCAGAATTTACTGTAGCAAAATCAATAGTATGATCAGTTTATCAGTTCATCCAATGAACGGAAAGCATAAACAATTATTAATTCTAGGAAATATAATATCTTCTTGGCCAAGAAAGACTAATTCCCAGCTAACAGCTAAATTAAGAAATAAATCAAGGGTCAAAGCATAGGTAACTTAGATCGAAGTTCAAGACAATAAATCGGTAAGCACATATCACAAGTAATGCTTCTCTTTTCAAATACAAACAATACTTTATTGATTATAAGCCTATGGCTAACACACAAAACAAATATCTAACACAAACACACGCACACGCATTCATACAAGTTGAAGAAAGACAGAGAGTGAGGAAGAATGAGTTTTAGGAGTTAGATGGTGAGATTCCCAAGATTCTATGCACTTATAAGACACAACCTGAACGAAGCATCAATAATTAATTTCACCCTTTTATCGTTTCTTAGGCGGGTGATTCAATTTTATATTAAACACCAGTTAAGAGTCTGGAGGCGTTACTTGCTTGTCCTTTGCGTTGCTTTGAGGATTCTCCTTTTTGTCGTAAAGGGGGTTTCCCGGTCCGTTGGTTGGCTGGCTGTCTCGTGCCTGGATAGATGTCTTGGGGCGGCCAATCACGTGGTGTGTTGGCGCGGATGAATGAAAGTCTTTGAAGTTGAAAGCTGGTTTTGCAGTTGAAACGTTAAAACGAAACTTTGCAGCAAAACTTAACTTAGAACCGAGACTTTTAACGGAAAAGAAACAACTAAGAAAAGAAAGAAAGGTGTGACGAGACGAGATGGCTTGGCTGAATCTGTTTTAACCCATATCTTGATTTGGGTCATTTGTCTCTGCGTCTACATGGTTACCACAACCATCGTCGGGCATCACCAGAGAGCAAGAGCGCATCACAAGAGCGCAAGAGCGCATCACAAGAGAGAGGATCACAAGAGAGAAGACCAGAGCGTTCAGAGAGAGAGCTTCTGTGTTCGGGTCTAAGATTTTAAACTCAAAATGTTTGTCCCGCCTCCAGGAGGAATTTGGAATTCGGACAATAAGATACTATATGATTATTTGAGAAGGGGGTCTTTTCTACCCCCCCCCCCTTCCTCTCAACGGGAATCATGTGTCATCTGTGGTCTCATTGTTCTGCAGGCCTTAGCAGAGAGAACAAGAGGCGACAGTTTAGACATTATTACAATTATAAGAACATAAACATTTTTACACAGATTTCAATCAAGCCATCTTTTGAATTAAAAACATACGAGCATAATGATAGGAAACACGCACAATTTCACTCACACACCTAATATGTATAACAATTAGGAATTGTATGGCATTTAAGCATATGAGAGACACACACATATATTGTAGAAACAACATATAATCAAAGTCCATCGAGAATTGTCCTGGGAAGAGTTTTATGGATTTTGATATGTAAGAAAGTCCTTATGTGTGTGTGTGTGTGGGTATCCTTATGGTCCGCATCTGTCACATCCGTGGTGTTTACCACGTGAGGGTTCAGTTCGCAATAATTGTCTTCAAGACAAAGGGTATTTTGTATGCAAGTCCACTTTTTCAGCCTTAAGGAGTTATAATAATTGATGAGGGGAAAACTAGCTCGGGATCCTGAATGGTTCAGTCTGTTTAGTCGCAGGGGTCAGGTGACTCCTTGTTAGGGCCTCTTGTTTCAATATTTCTGAACAGATCTGTTCTTGCCAAATTATAAAACATTGACAACATTCTTCCTTTAGTTAAGCAACAAAAGGTCTTCTTGGCTCATAGCCTCAGGGATAATTTGGAATATGCAGCCCCTTGTGTTTGATTATGTACGAACGCTTCCCTCGTGTTTGGTACATTCTCAATGTTGCTACACCTTTTTAAAACATATTTTTATTTTAAACCATTTTTGTAATTATTTATTAAAGACTGCAACAATTAAATACTTCAGGTCATTGGCCGGCGAGAGAAACAGATGCAGCAGTTGAAAAAAGGACTGAAGGATACTGGAGTTTTCCGCATGGTCAAAGAACGACCTTCTCTCATTGAAGTCCTATTCCCACGCTCATCTTCCCTGACAATTGATGCAGAGGTAATGTACCATCATGTGCCATTGACTATTTCCAAATAGATATTAAGATATACTTACACATCCTTCTATGTAATGATTATGCATAATCTACAGTTCCTTCTATTAACAAAGCATGGTTTAAACACAACTGGTCAAATGTTTTGGAATAATTACGATTAGTACGATTGGTCTCTTCTGTTCACCACAGCTGCATTTATTTGATTAAAAATACAGTAAAAACTAATATTGTGAAATACTATTATAATTTAAGGCAAGGCAAGTTTATTTATTTAGCACATTTCATACACAATGGTAATTCAAAGTGCTTTACATAGAAAAATCAAAAGAAATAAGAATAATTAAAACAGTTAAGAATAAAGAAATTAAAATAATCAAAAGAAATCAGAACTTCTCTGTGACTTCACATTTTTTGATGCGGGTGTGTAAATGCGTTTTGCACCATATTCACTGCAGCAACTGTAGCAAAAATGTGAGCGTATGAGTTTCTTAATTTGTGATTTGTAGAATAGGATTTGTGCACCTGCAATGAAGAATTTGAGAAGGTGTAACTGTTGTGTTGTGTTTGTGGAAGAGAAAAAAAAGTATACAAGTTTGCAAATCTTAAATCATTTCTCTCTGTGACTTCAAATTTACTGATACACGTGTGTGGCTATTCTCTACAACTACAAATTCCACTGTCACAGGCGTTCAGAAGTTTTGCACCAAAAATACCTTCATAGCTAAGCTACTGCATCATTTTATTTTGTGATATTATACTAGATGATCCTGGAAAAAGTAATATGGCCAAACCCTGACAGTGATGATGAGGAGAATTTCAGTCTGGAAACATGCTGCAGAATCACATCCTATTTCCGGCAATACATTGAACAAGGTACACATTTTGATTCTGTATTTGTACACGTTTAATATTGCATTTTTAAGATGTAATTTTGCTGGGTAGGGTTTGTGTGGTTATTTCATTGTAAGAAGACATGAAGATGTCTTATATGAAAATGTCATGTCAGTGTTAGTCACATTTATTCAATTAGCATTAGAGATGCACCGATTACAATTTTCTATGTCGATTCCGATTTTATTTATTTATAAAACACCATATACTTTTACCCAAACTGAATAATAAACAAGTTTAAATGGGTAAATTTTCTATAAATATTTTCTATAAAGTCTTCATTTTAATTTCTGACATAGATTACTCCAGTTCTTGTTAAAACACTAGACATGCAAATTCTGTGCATTTTGGGCAACACTTGTTGCGCAATGTTAATCATGCGCCGCCCGAGTGCATTTTGACCGGCATAAAATCGGCATATGTCAGACTGGATAGCTGGACAGACCAGACCGGTCATGGCCGATCACGTGAAAATCGGCCAATTCCGGTCACCAGCCGATCAATCGGTGCATCTCTAATTAGCATACAAACTAACACATTCTACATTAAAAAAACAGGTACACCACAAGAGCTGAAAAATCTTGTCGAGTTTTGGGTTGGCTGGACAAGCCTACCACAGGAACTGTATGTGGAAGTGTCACCTGACGTCAGAATGCCAACTGCCTCAACATGCAGGGAGACACTTAAAATCCCACTGCATTACAGTCATTATGATGAATTCACTGCTGATTTAAATGCAGCTGTGTCCAGCAACAGCTTTGGTTTTGGTTTAGTTTAAAATGTATTTCTTAAACCCTCATGTTGTCTTTGGGGTCATTAAAACCCTCATTAAAAAAACATTGCTGCCTTTCTCTCAGTTTCATGGAATTTAGTGACTTGTTACATTATTTGTCTAAACACAAAAAACCTGGGTTTGATTTAGTTCTGTATGTATACATTTTTATTTTTTTATTCCACTGTTGTTTGATGTGGGGTTTATTCATTTTATTGAAAAATTAATAAATCCCACATCAATCTAAACAAATTGACAAATGAAAGCCTGGGACTACACCACAAATGTAAAGTGGAACAAACATTCCCGCACCAGACTGATCTCATGAAATGGCGTATGTATGACACGCCAATTCGTATTTCCATTTTTGGCGTGCTATCAACACGCATAATCGCTTTTCAGCGTGTTTATCAACGCCTTTGACTTAACGTTATATTACTGTATTATGTATATATAAATATATGACCTACCCCAACCCCGTCCCTAAACCTACCCGTCACTGGGGTTAATACCATTTTATGAGTCTTCTCCTACCATCCTAGGAAAAGAAATATCGCTCCACAGATGTAGATATAGATTTAGCTTCGTTTCGCTCGGACATTTAACGGCGTACACATACACGCGGAATCACTCGGACATTTAATGGCGTAGACATACACGCAAAAGATTTCGGCGTGGACATACACGCGGATAGCACAAAATGCGTATAGATAACACGCCACTTGAATTGAAAGTGGCGTGTATGTTTACGCAAAGTCATGATGTCATGTTGCCCGCACACACATCCACAGGTTTAACTGCAACAGACAGCATTTTTATTGAATTTCGCAAATTCAGAACACTCATATGAAGGGGTGAAACCTAGCACCGACACACACTTCTGTGAATGAAGACATTGTGCAAGCATATTTGGGTGAGTAGTTGATCTATCCAAATAAACGAGTTAGCTGTAGCACCGTTTCACAGTAAGCATCCACTGCTTCTGTAAGAAGAACATTAGGACTGGGTAAGGTATCCACCTCTGCAACAGTCAACTCTCTCTGCAGTAGTGCTTGTGGGACTGCAACTCCCTCCATTTCATTACTGCATGGTCCCTCCCAGTCTATTCCGAAGTCATCACTCGCCTTGCAACAAAAAAAAGCAAAAATTCCATTTTAAAAAATGACAAACATTACATCCCAAACTGTCATATCTACATATACCTGGTCTGGATCATCAGTAGTTTGAAATGTTGTCCACAACTGTAGAGGGGATTGGCTACCCGTGGTCCTTAATTTGTGGTTATTCCAAGCCTCCTGGAACAGATTAAGATGCCTTTGCAACTGAGGCAGGAAAATCCAGTGTAGTGCATATAGGTGCACCTCATTATCTGGATCCAGCAAACTCTCACTCTCCATTCCATAGAACAGGCAGTAAAACAGGTCTAAGACCTGTTCATAGACATCCCTCCATAACCTTTCAATCCTACAGAGACAACAGTACAACAATTTTATTGAAATTAAATCTATGTAACTTTTTTTTCCCACCCACACCAAGCACCTTTGATTGTGGACACTTCTTCCAGTTATGTGTGAGTTGCGGTTCTCTCCCCTATGTGCCACCATGAAGTGTGCCACTTCAATGTTCTCCAAGCCCTTGTCTGAGCGCACTCGAGAGGGGAGTCCAAACTTCTGAACTGCTCCAATAAAACTGTCAACAACAGTTGATGCCCGGTTGTTTGTCGCAGCACTTAGGTAAACGATTAAGCGGCTAAAGCCGTCAATGCCTCCATGAATGACGAACCTCCACCTAAATAAGAAATCAGATACATAAAATGAAACATTACGTTTTATGATCCCCTCTCTTACCACCTCTATCCTCCCATGTCAGGGTTTTTTCCTGCATTTAAATTATTAGGTGGCTATCCAAATGAAATTTCTTATCACTTGAGCAAATTCAGACATCCATTTTTAAAACATCCCCTTCCATGCTATTTTTCTTCCAATATTTGTATTGTTATATGTTTTACATTTACAAAACCAAACATTACAAAAGTTTGTACTGGATAGCATGGTGGGGATCTGTTTACTGGTGCTATCTGCTGGATGACAGAGCAAAAGTATTAAAACAATTTTTTTTTTAGCATAAGCAACCTTTATGGAAGTAATTTATGATTTACTTAACACTGAATATCTAATATGATTAAACTGAACTGAACTATATTAAAATATTTTGACTGTACCAGTTAGGACTATATAAAAAATATGTGTTTCCTCTGCCTTGGGTAAGTGAGGGCCAACTTGTTTTACTTAATGATTGTATTGAAAATATTAAGGCAAAGAAGGCCAGGTGATTTTTCCTACAGCCAGAGGATGAAAACAGAAAATATTTTACAGAGGAAGACTGAAAGGTTTGTAAATCATAGATATCCAGGTTTTGAGCCTCTTGTTCTACTTAATTTGCTTTTGATGTAAGCACAAATTGTATTACGGTAGATTAAGACCACCCAAAATCATTTGTCACCCAGGAAAAACCCTGTTCAATGTTTCATAATTGCACAGATAGTATATTTGCCTAAGTTTAGACTCCCAATACCTTATTAGCTTGTGGTTTCCGTCTATATGCCACATTGCATTTGGTCCTGAGACAGAGTATTGACGGCGATGACGTGTGCATATTGCTAATGCTCTCAGCTGAGTTCCCAGTGGATCGACTCTTCGCACAGACTCGCGCACCCTTGAAGCTTAAAAGTAAAAAAAGAAATGCACAATATATTTCAATACATCAATTAAAACCTAATTAAATGTTTTGTTTTTAATTCTGTAATTTACTAGAAATTCACCACATTCTGGTATTTAAGCATTTAATCAATAAAACCCGAACCTTTAATATAAAACAGCCAAATTGCTGACTGCACACTGAATCAATGCTGAAGACAGCAGTGTGCTGAAACTTTTGCTTGCTTTTTAATTCACATGCAATTTGCACGATGCAACTTATAATACATTTTTTTGTTTTTTTTGCTAGACTTCAATTTGTACTGTATTCAGTGTGCGACCAGCAACCTTCTTGCTCGTATACACAAGTATTGAAGACAAAAGGTGTAAACTCAAAATATTATGAAATTGTTCTTACTCTGAATATGAAGACCTTGGGCCCGAAGATGACCATGTATAATCCTGTACCCAGCGTTTGGGTAATGTCTTTGTATTTCTGCCACAATGTTGTCTAATACATCATCAGTGACATCAGAGTACAAATCTCTAGCCCTATGGTATGGGGGGGAATATAAATATATTTATATTCGTTATTTATTTGTACATTCCACTTTTTCCTCTCTCACTAATACAAATGTATTAAAATTAAGTACCTTAATCCATGCTGTTCTAGTCTTCTACGTATAGTTCGCTCAGATACTCCAAGCAGGCGCGCAAGCTGGACACATGAGTAACCACATATCACGTAGTACTCGATCATCTCTTGTGGTATGTCCAGTAAAGGGCGTCCTGGTCCTTTAGTTGTCCTGTCCTTCACAAAAAGCCTGTAAGCTACTTCATTGAGGTTGGCGAAGACAACATTACTGATGTTGCTGTTGGTCAAGGCCACAAACTCATTTAATTTATCCAAAACTAAATGGCTTCTGAGTAAGAGGAAATCAGTAGAGGATGTACTATCTTCAACTTGCTGCGCGAGCATCATAAGGTCCTCCACAATTTCACCAACTACCTCCATTAAATAAATAAATAAATAAATAAATCGGAGTCCGTTCAGCGCATCACCTCTTGACCGTCGACTGTGAGTGACGTCACTTCCCAACACAAACACGCCCCATAGCATATAACCCCACCCTCGACACTGATTGACAGGTTTCAGTGTAGGCATCGGAAATGCAAACGCTAAGGGAATTGCGATTCCATTTGAGTTTTGGCTGGTTACATACGCGACACTGAGAAAGTGAAAAAGCAGACGTGGTAATTGAAATTACTATTTAAATAGGAATGGAGACAAACCTCGTAAGACATGGGAAACACAGTTGCAAACGGACTTTGCATTTTCATTTGAAATTTGGCAGTCAGTGTGCGTTCGCTTAAACGAAAATGCAAACGGTAATGCGCGATTTGCAATTGCGTTTGGATTATGTCACATTTTATGCGTCCACAAATTGAAAACGCAATTGCAAATACAATTTGCAATTCCTTTTGAATAATGTCCGGAATATCATTCCATACACGTACTGTACACTTATGAAGACAGACAATCATCTGTTGGCTGTCAATAAATCCTTTGAAGAGAAGAGCATTCATTTGCATTCTTACCGATGCACCACAGTGGTCACCTATCCCAACTAGCTACAATTACAGTCCTATCTATCAAGTCTTCACTACACTTATAAACGCACGTGTTTGTTTTATGTTGCCGCGCTAAATTAGAGTGCAGGTTTTTCCCTGTTAATATTTTTTCTCCACATATTATTTTGGTGGATTGAGTCTGTGGAAATGTCGTTTAGTATATTAAAAGTGTGACTTTTCATTTGGATATTAAAATGTATGTTTATAGCCATATGTGTGACCTGTGTATTAGATGAATTGCAGTTGTTGTTGAAAGTTAACGTTTCTTTTCTCATACATACTTCTCATCCTTCAGCTGAAAGAGAGTGAACCTGAAGGCTTGTGTGTTTTATGTGTTGATTGTCTGTCCTCCTCTGTCAATAAACTGCAGACGTGGTCCACCGAAGCCAGTGTGTCGTGGGAGTTTCTCTGTGGTGTGAGAAAAAGTCCTCTACATAGGCTTCAGAGTATTTGTTTTTTCCCACATTAATTTCCCACATGACTGGTACAATTATGTGTGTTTGTTTAATTAATAATGTACACTTTTTTTTCTTGATTTAACCCGAAAGAATGGAAGTGAAATGTGACAACATGCCCCATTGGTACAGTCTATGAACAGACCATGTGAAAGATTCAAATGCTATCTGATCTAATCAAAACAAATATACAAGACAAACTAAAAAATTTGTCAATAAAATTAAATTATTAACTTTTTCATATAAAATAATGGCATTTTTTAATAATAAAAAATCAACACATTTTTCAGTTTGACAATAAACATACCCGCAAAAACACAGCTATACAGCATAGTTCAAAACATGATAATAATTAATAATTTTTGAACAGTGACTCTCAGGCTTTATTCACATTTTTCTAATGGTTTATCAATAGAATTCATAAAAGTATATAATAGAATATCATATTTCTAATAGGGGCTCATTGTAACTCAGTGTGACAACATGCCCCGCCTGAGCAACTGGGGTTTAAACCCGGCGAGTGTTTCTGCTGGTTACATCAGCATTAAAGAACCACTGTTAAATAACAATTAAAACAATATCAGATTTGCCTAATTTTTTATAAACAAAAAAAAAAAAAGATGAAAAATTAATATAAGTAAGAAATGTACTTTTGCTATGGCTAAATGTTTAGTGATATCTTACGAATATTTCTGAATTTTGGCGCAGGTTTTCTCTGTATTGTGTTGACTAGTAAATCCAGTAAGTTTCTTCATGTGTGGAAGTGTTTAAAGCAAGTGTGTGACAACTAGCCCCGCGTTACACTGTCCCGCTCTCTTCTACTACTTACTCATGAGATATTAGTAATTTAAAGTGCTTTACATACAAAAATAATGTAAAATAATCACAACAGATGCATAAAAATAAAAAATAAACAATAAAAGCACAGAATAATAAATGATTAAAAATGTATTTAGAATGTATTAAGAATCTAGAAATAAAACAGAAGGAAAAGTGGACTCACCGTGCGCTTGGTATTTCTAGCTCACGATCGGTTCATATTCAGTGAGCAGATCTGCAATGTATGATATCTGCATCTGCATATATCTGCATATCTGTATAACTGTATATCTGTACAGTGAGGAAAATGAGTATTTGAACACCCTGCTATTTTGCAAGTTCTCCCAGTTATAAATCATGGAGGGGTCTGAAATTGTCATCGTAGGTGCATGTCCACTGTGAGAGACATAATCTAAAAAAAAAAAAATCCAGAAATCACAATGTATGATTTTTTAACTATTTATTTGTATGATACAGCTGCAAATAAGTATTTGAACACCTGTCTATCAGCTAGAGTTCTGACCCTCAAAGACCTGTTAGTCTGCCTTTAAAATGTCCACCTCCACTCCACTTATTATCCTAAATTAGATGCGCCTGTTTGAGGTCGTTAGCTGCATAAAGACACCTGTCCACCCCATACAATCAGTAAGAATCCAACTACTAACATGGCCAAGACCAAAGAGCTGTCCAAAGACACTAGAGACAAAATTGTACACCTCCACAAGGCTGGAAAGGGCTACGGGGAAATTGCCAAGCAGCTTGGTGAAAAAAGGTCCACTGTTGGAGCAATCATTAGAAAATGGAAGAAGCTAAACATGACTGTCAATCTCCCTCGGACTGGGGCTCCATGCAAGATCTCACCTCGTGGGGTCTCAATGATCCTAAGAAAGGTGAGAAATCAGCCCAGAACTACACAGGAGGAGCTGGTCAATGACCTGAGAAGAGCTGGGACCACCGTTTCCAATGTTACTGTTGGTAATACACTAAGACGTCATGGTTTGAAATCATGCATGGCACGGAAGGTTCCCCTGCTTAAACCAGCACATCTCAAGGCCCGTCTTAAGTTTGCCAATGACCATTTGGATGATCCAGAGGAGTCATGGGAGAAAGTCATGTGGTCAGATGAGACCAAAATAGAACTTTTTGGTCATAATTCCACTCGCCGTGTTTGGAGGAAGAAGAATGATGAGTACCATCCCAAGAACACCATCCCTACTGTGAGGCATGGGGTGGCAGCATCATGCTTTGGGGGTGTTCTTCTGCACATGGGACAGGGCGACTGCACTGTATTAAGGAGAGGATGACCGGGGCCATGTATTGCGAGATTTTGGGGAACAACCTCCTTCCCTCAGTTAGAGCATTGAAGATGGGTCGAGGCTGGGTCTTCCAACATGACAATGACCCGAAGCACACAGCCAGGATAACCAAGGAGTGGCTCTGTAAGAAGCATATCAAGGTTCTGGCGTGGCCTATCCAGTCTCCAGACCTAAACCCAATAGAGAATCTTGTTTCTCAGCGACAGCCCAGAAACCTGACTGATCTAGAGAAGATCTGTGTGGAGGAGTGGGCCAAAATCCCTCCTGCAGTGTGTGCAAACCTGGCGAAGAACTATAGGAATTGTTTGACCTCTATAATTGCAAACAAAGGCTACTGTACCAAATATTAACATTGATTTTCTCAGGTGTTCAAATACTTATTTGCAGCTGTATCATACAAATAAATAGTTAAAAAATCATACATTGTGATTTCTGGATTATTTTTATTTATTTTTTTGATTGTCTCTCACAGTGGACATGCACCTACGATGACAATTTCAGACCCCTCCATGATTTCTAAGTGGGAGAACTTGCAAAATAGCAGGGTGTTCAAATACTCATTTTCCAATTTCCTCACTGTATATCTGCATATCTGTATGAGCTGCAACTCTAATGGTGTTTTTGTGAAGGCCGGTGAGGAGTGTATCAGTAATACACCTGTGATTAAAGCTTGAACAAGTTCCTCTTGTCTGGAAACAAAGCATCTTATTATTGCAATATTTTCGAGAAAGTAATATACTGATTTAGTTATTGCTTTTACTACTGAAACTACGATCTGACTCTAAAATCACAAGAATACTTGATTTTTAGTTGTTTGACCCCTAGAGTCGAGAAATGTGTTCACCTTGACAACTTTATCTCTGTTTGCAACAGTAATGACTTGAGTTTTCTCTTTGTTTAACTGAAGAAAATCTTGGTACATCCAACAGTTAAAGCTAGGGTATACGATTTCAAAGATTGTTCATTATTAATATCCTCGTTTAGATGCTGGTTATGGTTATATAGTACAATCCTAACAATATGAATAGAAAAAAGAATGAAAAAAATCCATTCACTCTATTGGCTGTACAGCCGCAGAGAAGTTGACCAATGTAAGCTGTCCGGCCGGATAGCTTACATTGGTCAACTGCTCTCATCCAATCACCAGCTCCACTGAAACTCCGCCTGGCGCTCGCGTCTCCACCGCACCGCACCCCTCCTGCGTCATGAAATTGCGCGAGCAAGCAGCTGACAGTCTATGGTAGCTAGCTAAGTAGCATATCAGCAATGGATAAAAAAAAAAGACAGCAGCAAGCGTCCCCTGCTTGTCCCTACAGTAAAGTTAGGACGAAAGAGAAAGTCATTAGAGGAACGAGGAACATCACCATGTTGATGATTTCCACCATTGACCGTTGGAGGAAGCTTCAGGAAGATCTGGGACTAAAGACCGACGCTGACACGGCTGACTTTTTGTTGAGCAGGTAAACATTTATTTATACTTTTATGGACGTGTTACAAAAATAGCTTTTTATCAGTTTGACAACTTGCTCATGCTGCCGGTCGGCATTGGAATGTTAGCCGTTTAGCATCGCCTATCACGGGTCAAAGTAATTATATTTCTTGAAGTCCTTGAATATATTTCAGTTGGCCTAAGTTAGCGGGTTTCTGTTCGAGCCGATCGAAATTTGAACAAGATGCGCTGTGTGCTGCAATAACAATTACTGAAAACCTTAGCAATACTAGTAGGATTATTCTAATGGTGGTGGGGAGTTTAGAACATTTCATGTGTTGCTAATCTTGCGTTGACGTGAACT